GGAAACTGCTTTGGTAGTTAACTAGCCAGTCACAGTCTTTGTTTAGTATCAAATCAAAACTAGTAACCTGTTCCAGTTAACCAGTGGAGACTGGAGCGGCTCCCCCCCCCCCCCCCCCCGCCATCCCCAGCCCCCCAGCCTGGCGGAGGGAGTGGGGGGACTGCTCCAGCCCAGACCCCTTTAATCGATTAACCAGTTAAATGGGGTTTTACATCCCTATGCAAATGTCCCAGCATTTGACTCCTTTGGTATATATTTTTTCTTAGCTTAAATGTATTCTGCCTTCAGTACAAAAGGAGGACAGCCTCGTCTGGTTTCTCTTTGTAGGTGGGGTTGTTGGGAGTGCACCCTGTTAACGTCTGGCCTAGTATAGAGGGAGTTATATTTATCCATGTCTTCATATTGCTCTCGACGCTCATCCCTGATAGCAGTGTTTCTAGGAAAGGCAACTCTACTTCCTCAAAGGCCGCCTCAGCATCTAAGGATAACAGCAGGCCTGTGTTTGGATTTGTTCTGCTCTGCCTATCTTGACTGACGCTTAGGACTTGTCTGCTTCACTGAGTTGTATGTTATGGATGAAACCAGTTTGACAAGTGTGTATTAATTGGGGCAGGACCGTTTCTATTCTTCTGGTCGTAGTCTTTGAAAATACTTCCTACTTTAAGAATTAAAAGTGGTTGAAATAAGTTACGTGCAGGACTTTGTGTTTGCGGGTTTGATGTTGTTATGCCATCTTTCATTACAGGGGGAGTCTTCTTACTCTAAGAAATCATTAATATGCTTGGCTTACCGTCAGTGATATGTCATCTTCTAAAACTCCTCTGGAAAGCCCTCGTGTGATTTTAATAGCTTCTGGGACCGCCTTCCTTCATTGTTCTTTTTAAGTCTCTCAGCTAGTCCTGTGTTAAGCTTGGCATGATAACCTCAGCGTATGCCAGAATTTCCCCCCAAGGCGCCTTCTAGTTGGAAGGCACAAAGATTTGTGATTTCCTGCGTTCAGCAGTCTAACGGTTTTACATGTTGCTACTCTTTTACATGTGATGTTTGTATTTGACGTGTGCCTTTTACATCTGTACTCAGCCCGTGGCGCTCTTTGCCACAGGACATCGGGAAGGCCAAGACTGTAGCAGGGTTCACAAAAGAACTAGTTGTATTCAGGGAGGATAGGTCCATTGGTGTTCTTAGCCAGGGATGCAGAAACGTGCTCTGGTGTCCCTAGCCTCTGTTTGCCAGAAACTGGGGATGGGTGAGAGGGGATGGGCACGGATCGCTTCGTGATTGCCAGCTCTGGTCAGTCCCTTTGAAGCATCTGGCATTAGCTGCTGTCGGAAGGTACTGGGCTAGGTGGACCATTGGTCTGACCCAGTATGGCTGTTCTTATGAGTTTATTAACCTTATTCCCCTCTCATGAGACCCCTGTTTCAGCCAGCTATGAGGGCCTTCTCAGCTGTCTCCTAACCTTTCTCTTACCGGCTGTCTCTAACACTCTTAGTTCTTGGAACAAAAGTCACTGGTTCCTCAGACTTTCAAGCCTAGAGAGGGCCTCCATGTCTAAGGTTAACAAAAGCAGAAGCATAAATAAATCACAGCTTTCTGGCTGCTTTTTACATCCTAAAGAATCAAGAAGCAGCGTGAGTTCATTCTGTAAATGTATTTTATTCGTTAAGAGGATCCTTTGCCAATAAAGTTAAATCTGGGATAAGTTATCACATTTGCATTAACACCTTTCTGGCTAGACACTTAAGGTGCTGCAGAGTCAGAGCATCTCCTCCGGTTCCTTGGGAATGTCCGTCAGTGCATTTGATGCCGCCCTGTCTGTGGCTGCCAGCTCTAATATCCCTGGAGAGACTGTCGGATGTACAGACCCACTGGTGGAGGGTTGGCTCTAGTCAGTGTATGTCATCACTGCAGAATCAATGTAGCCTTTTTTGGGGTGCTGCCCGCGGACACGCCTCTCACATGAGTGGTGTTTTCAGCCTGGGCTACTTGGCCCTACTAGGGATAGAGGTTAGAGCCTGAGTGTTGTTCTCTCTGCCTGGTAACCCACCCGTTTGGCAATGAGGACACAGGCTAAGCCACTTGAGTACTGCTAACCCTCCAGTGCCTTCCCACAATTTTCCCCATGTGCCTAGGGCAGACAAGCTGTGCCATAATCCACAGGGAAAGAACCATGGAGCAGCTCATGGGATCACCGGCTGTCCTAGCGACGTATTCGGGTGAACGCAGCACCAGTGAAGACACAGGCATAGCTTTGCACTGTGGCTGCTCACACCTGGCCTAGGCTGGCCAATTGCCAGTCACCTGTGTGGACACTGCAGTGAAGATGAACTCTCAGAAATCCAATTTTCTGACAAAACAGGAGATGAAGTCAGAGGAAACTGCTTGGATTTGTTGCCAGCTCTTTCAGGCTGAATAGGCCAATCAGTTATATGCCGACCTAATGGTTAACGAAGGCAGGAGGGAGTTTGTGAGGCAAGGGGTGTGATTTAAAAACCTTGCTTGATCCACTCGGTCCACGTGCAGCTTTAGAAGAACAGTCTGGCCCGTCTATTTTGTCTCTCCAGATAAAACCCTCTTCCTTCGCATTAAGGAAATTTTCAGTGAACTCAGTGTTAAGCATAATCTTCATAAACTGTTTATTGTGGGTGTGTTAATGATAGTCAAAGCTTTACTTTTATTTTCTGATTCTTGCGCATGGCTTGGTAATGTAGTCTAGGCGTGGTTTTGGATGTACACAAAGTACTGCACATGACTCATTTAAATCAATGTTAATTCTTAATGTAGAAAATATTTTCAAAGACTATGACCAAAGAAGTTACTTCTTTGTGTTCATTATTAAATTGTCTTCCTGCATTTCACGGTAATTGTAACAATGCTGCTTGCACAGAAAAGCAACTAATTTTGCTATGGGAGCTGTAAACTCTAACTTGCTTTGTGCATTTAAAAGGATGATACCAAGTTAAATTATTTTTAGCTTTTTAATGTAGCACCTCTCTCAATAATTTGATATATACTTGTAATGCAATTGGAACAATTTAAATCTTACTTACATTTGATTGCTTTTGTGTAGTCTATTTTAATTATTCAGGCTGAAGGAAGTACACAAAGTAGTTGGTTTCACTTCTGTTTAGTCAGTTTTAGACGATCATGCACAAGGTACAGTTAAATGCTTGAGTTGTACTGTCCAATTTGTACAGCGATTGAAATTGACAACATAATCCTCCTTGGTTTAATGATCTGCTAGGCAACAGTTCAAGGCGACACTGTTTTGTTGGAAACACAGGGAATTAATCATTGCTCTTCTGTGCTAGTATTTGGGCTGATAAACTGGGACAAAGGCTGCAGGCACTTCCTTCTACTGTACAAATCGACTCTTCTTTGCCTGTTCTGCTCTACTGTGCTTTGACTCAGCTGCAGGTTCTATATTGAAAAGCTGAACGCAGTCACCCTCTTATTTCCTTATTCTTGGCCATGCCAAGATGCTATTGAAAGTGGAGTCTACAGTGGTGGTCACGTGCTAGTTACTCCTCAGGGCAGCTTACAAAAAGTCAAGTCCATTTTCACAGGCATCTGTTTGCAAGTACTAGTGAAGAGGAAATAAACCAGATCATCTGGTTGTCACCCTGTTGGCCATATCAGTGTGGCATTGAACATTCAAGCCCTCTTTGGTAGTGACGTGTGAATACACACCCCTGTCCCCCTGGACCAGTCCATTCAAACTTACTACTGGTCACTTGATTTCTTGTGCTACTTTGAGTATCATGAGGATCCTAGAGAGTGAAGTTGCTAAATCTTAATCTTCCCGTTTGGGTTTGTGATAGACATTTTGTAAGCAGAAGCCATGCTGGCCCCAAAGTAACCTGAGCTACGGGGCCAGGCTGGGTGCTGCACCCGTGGTGTTGGTGATCCAGTTGTGTAGTTACTGTGGGTTCTGTGGCTGTTTGCTATCTAGGCGCTGCAGATGTTGCTGGTAAGTGAAGAGTTGGTCACAGGAGCAAGGTTCAATGAGACTGCACGTTTTTGGCAGCTGCAGGGAAATAATTGTTCTAAAGCTGTGTGGACGCTCTTGTTGCCTAGTAACCCTGACCTAAGAGGTTATGGTAGGGGGCTCGGAGAGGAATTTTGTCCGTTTCCTGACTATGGAGCAGGGGCTGTACTGTCTAAGTGCTCCGTTTTCTGAAATCAAGTTAATAAGGAACAGACTTCCACATTTTTTGAAGAACAGAATTGCTGTAGCTTTGGATATTGGGCTGCAAGTTACAGTGTCGCTACACATCTCAAGGGGCATATCAGTTACTTACGTGCTCAAGGGTTGTTGAGAAATTACTTTTCAAGCCTCGTTGGAAAAATTCATGGCCAGAATGTAGAGCTTAAACGTTCTGGTTTGACAAGGACTTGCTGCCCTCTACCTCCAATTGCTCCTGGATCTAGGTGTCTGCTGCACTCAAATACACACAATCGAAATACAGAGACAGAAGTTAAATGCTCAGGGTTTGATACCAATCCACGACAGCAAAGCTGAAATAAGGGGCCGTCTGTCCTGCAGCATGCAGGCACGTGGATCCGTAGATCAGTAGAGCAACAGTGCAAGTAGTGGCAGGAAGGTACTGAGACCAGTGGTGTTCAGTGTGTTACTAGCACACAGTCCCCTGGAGCTGGCAGTTGAAGCAGACAAGGCAGACGAATTCTCCACTTACAGGTGTCTCTATTCTGTTAGTGACTTATCTGGGGTTGCCAGGTGACCTGTGTTTAACCAGAATGCACAGTGAAAAAGTCACCACCGCGGACTGGGCTCCTAAAGTCCTCTTGGCAGGGGCTGGCAGGCTCCCTGCCTGGGTCCACATGGAGATGTGCCCCTCAGCTCCTAGGTGGAGGGACAGCCAGGGCTCTGTCTGCTGCCCGCACCCCATGCACCAGCTCTGCAGCTCCTATTGGCCGGGAATCTCAGCCAATGGGAGCTGTGGAGACTGCACCTGCAGGTAGAGGCACAGCCTCCTGACATGATGCTGCTTCCAGGAGGCCCCTCAAGGTAAGTCCCACTGGGGCTAACTCCCTGCACCCCGATTCTCTGCCCTAAGTCTGAGCTCCCGCTTGCGCACAGACTCCATCCTGGTGTCTGACCTCCTCCCATACCTCTGCCGCACCCCTGGAATCTGCACTCCTAGCCCAGAGCTTGTACACCCTCCCCAGGGCCGTCCCTAGAGGGGTGCAGGGCCCAGGGCACCCCTGTAACCCTCATTGCCCTGCCTCTTCCTGCCCGTGCTCCATCCCGCCCCCCACCCCATCTCTTCTCCCAAGCTCCATCCCTGGTCCACCCTCCCTGCCTTTTCTTACCTTTGCTCCGCCCTCTCCCATCCCAATTGCACCTCATCCCGGATAGGAGATTACCGGGGGGCCTGGTGCGGGGCAGCAGCAGTGGTTGGGCCATCCCATTCCCTGAGCGATGGGGCCCAGCAGCTATCTCCCAGCCGGGCCACAGCAGTGGGCAGTGACACACCTCGCCTGGTCCAGCCGCTCGGCTCCGCTCCCCCGAGCCGCCACCCAGCTGGGAGAAGGGGCGGGACAGGGACAGGGTGCGGGTGGAGAAGGAGCTGGGCAAGGGCTTTTTGGTTCTGTGTGAGGAGAAAGTTGGCAGCCCAGCCATATCCACCAGCCCGTGCCTGGGGCTGTGCTTGAGTCGCTGAGTTCAGCCTGCTACCGGCCTTTCCTCAGGGTTTGGATTCTGGGATGCAAATCTTCTTCTTCTGAGGTTCTGGGGTTTGTTCGGAAAGCCTGCCTGCTGCGAGAAACAGTGCCCGTGTGGCTTTGCTACGCAAACATTGGGGATTTGAGCGTTCCTTTTGCAATCCCTTTGACTGCCTTTGGCACTTGAAATATTACACACCGCAGTGTTTGAGCTGCCATGATGTGTGATGGCTCCTGGCTTAACTCTCCATTGCTCTTCTTCCAGCTCTGCAGTGCCTGGACTCTCTGCGGCCTTGTGTCAACGAGGGAAAATGCGTCTCCTATCGTAACGGCACAGGACACTGCAAGTAAGTCAGCTGGACTGGCATCTGCTTCTCAGTCCAGGCCTCAAGGCAAAGAGCCCAGCGGCTGCGCTCAGGTCAGGCTCCGTGTGAATTCTTGACTGACAGTAAGAGCTTTAAGCCATGGCTTTCTCTGGACTGTAGGCTGCACACTCGTGAGAGAACAGAAAATAGAGATTAGAGGTGGAACGATCTATAATCAAGCTCTTGAAAATGGTTCCCCACATGACTCGGCTTCTCTTTGAGCACGGTGTGAATTAAGGATGTTAAGAACTAGTTAACTATCCGATAAGCATTTGCATATTGGATAGTTGAGTTGACTAGTCGCTCCCCTCCCCCCCTTTGCTGCTTCTATCAGATAGTGGCAGCAAAGGGGAGGGAGGTAGAGGGGGTACTTCAAAGTGGCAGCACCGCATGGAGCCCCGTGCGGCGCTGCCGCTTTGAAACACCATGGTGGTGTTTCAGAGGGGCAGCGCCACAGGGCTGATCCTGGGCTCTGTGCGGTGCTGCCCCTTTGAAATGCCACAGCAGCATTTCAAAGCAGCAGCGCTGTGTGGAGCCCAGGGTCAGCTGGGGGCTCCCTAGCTGACCCCAGGCACCATGCGGCCTTTCCGCGGCACCCGGAGTCAGCTGGGGAGTTCCCGGCTGACCCCAGTTTCCATGGAAATGCCGCGCAGAGCCCAGGATCAGCTGGGGAGTCCCGAGCTGACCCCGGTTCCGCATGGCATTTCAAAACAGCAGCGCTGCATGGAGCCTGGGGTCGGTGAGGGATTCTGAGTCCCCCGCTGACCCCGGGCTCCATGTGGGCACTTCCACTTTGAAATGCACAAGAGCCCCTGCTGGAGACTCTTGCACATTTCAAAGCTGGCACCCGCCTGAAGTCCGGCTGACTCCGGGCTCCACGTGGCACTTCCGTTTTGAAATGCACAAGAGCCCTTGGGCTCAGGCTGCACGCGGATTCCAAACGTTGAAATGGCTGGGCCCCCGCTGCGGCTCTTGTGCACTTCAGAGGAGGAATGCGGAAGTGCCTCTTGGCTACTCAGCTGGTCAGTTAACCAATATTTACCGTCCTTAGTCCGAATGCGTCCTCATACGGGGTGATGCTTATCTTTAAAGCCACGGTGTGCAAACTTTTCCTGTAGCACCCCCCATTATGGAGTCTGGCCGTGCCCCTCCCCCATTACTGCAGAATGGCTCAGCAGAGGAGGTTGTGCTGGAGGTCGAACTAGAGAGGGGGCAGGAGCTGGGGAGAGGCAGCGTGGGCCTGAGGGCAGAGATGGCCTGGGGGTTGAGCAAGGGGCAGAGAGGAGCTGCAGCTGGGGGCGGAGTTGAGCTGTGACTGGGGGCGGAGCCGGGCTGCTGGCAGTCCCTCCATGCCCCCTGTGCGGGCTAGCCAGGCCCTGCTGCACACCTTCATGAATGTTTTTCCAGTTTGGGGACCTCTGCTCTACTGCACAACGTGGGCCTTCCTGGCTAGCAACTTACCAGGAAATGGGCAGCACTGTCCTGTCCTTGTGAAGCATCAAAGCAGCACAGCCCTACCCGCTGTTTGTTCCTTTCTGAGGGCCACAGGGAGGGAGCAGCAATACTGGCGCTTCTGCCATTTCCCTCCTGTTGTCTCATTTCGAGAAGTTTCATGCTGCTTTTCTTCTAGGCGGAGCTTTTGTAATTTAACCTGTTCGTTTTGGGGCAGGTACGTCGGTCAGGCCGTCAGTTTGACTTCTGTACAGTGGGATAGGAATAGGGGCTGGGAAAGTGATGACCCTAATGGGCGGGTTTCCCCATCCTGCTCCCAAGCGTCTATACCTTGTAGCAGGTCAGCACTCGCTCTTCTTCCAGAGGCTTGGCTTTATTACCAAGGGATCTCGAATCTCCTCACCGGGGCCAGGTGTAGCTATTTGCAGGGTTCTTCTGACGGCTCCTGCCCCTCCGCAGGTTCTGTCCCTTCTTGGCAGTGTGGGAGGGAAGAAGCCCCGTCAGCCCTGTGCCACCAGACCCATCTAGCCATCTCGTAGAAATAACGTTGCTTTTTGCTGCTGCATGGAAAATCTCTGCCCCACAGCGGGTGCCCTGGGGCAGTCTGTGGTTTCTGGAAAAGGGCATTGTGCGTGTTGGAACACAGCTCTCTTCGGTAGTTACCTTGGCGAGTGCCAGGGCCAGGCACTTCGCGCAAGCTTCAGCTCTGCACAACTTGATGGTGTTGGTCACTCCTGGGAGCCAGCTTCCCGCTTGCCACTGGTGAATGGATTTGTCAGGCCTTCTTGGCATCGTTAGTGCCAGTGGTACCATTTCATAGCCCACTGAAACCCTCGCTGCTCAGTGCCTGCATTCTTGAAATGTTTGTAGATTACATCCCACCTACTTCGGCTGGCTGTTCCTAATTAGCTCTTTTCAGCATTTCCTTCGTGAATCAGCCTCCCTGCCCCTGAATGTTTGTTTCCCTTTCTCTAAAGGTCCCTTCAACTTGTCAGTCAGTATTGTCCTGCTAACAGGGTGCCCCAAATTCGTACGTTGTGACACCTGAGACATGGAGAGGGATGCCTTTCGGTTACAAATCCAGGGTGTTTTTGAAGCCATGGTGCACTGCAAGATGACACTTGCCATTCTGTCACCCTTTGCACCTTCATTGCTTCCCAGGTTGCTCTGTTCCATGCTTTAGATGATTTCCCCCAGATGTACGAGTGGCGCCTTCTCCTCTTTTCTGTTAAATCACTTTCTGTTTCTGTCTTGCGACTGGGGTTACAATTGCTCCCCAGTTGCACCGCTGGTAAACTTATTAACTGGTGTCCAGGTAGGTGTGCAGATCATAATAAAGGGGATCAATGAAATGGATTCCAATACTGGTGCCAGCTGTACTTCATTACAGACTTCTCCATCTTGATAGGGTCCTGTTAATTGTGTGCTTGACTAAATGCGATCTCTTTCAGTTCTCAATACATCTCTTTTAAGATTTGGACACTTTGGTTGTTCAACTAAATCCAGCTATTGATCACTAACTGTGAAGTGCTCTCAAGCATGTCGGTCTCATGGGATGGCCAGGTAATTGAAAGCCATGGTTGCTGGCAATACATGCGCTTGGTGGTGGCATTAACCATTTATTTGACAAAAATGTCTGATTTAGAGGCATTTGTAACTCTGGCTGTTGCCTTCCTCCTTCCTGGTAAAAGTCTACTGCAGGCCCTGATCTTCCCCTACTCCATGTCTCGCCCTCTGCCCTCCTGCAGCGCAAGCTCTGCCTGCCACCTGCCTGACCTGCCACCACATTTCCAGTTCTGGTTTAATGGTTTCTCTTTTGTAGAGAGGAAGGAAATGGAGCAGAAAACTCAAACTTGGTCCTTCAAGGTGGAATTTCCACGTTGGCGGTTGGCATCCTGTTTTCCTGTGCCATGACTGTGGGGAAGTGCCCACCAGCTGGGACCACCTAGCTCCCCTCTGAAATATTTGTGTAGCTGCAGGAGGAGACCCATTGTGCTCAGGAAGCTGTTTTCAGAGAAGGGCAAGTTCCCCAGTTAGCTAAATCCCTGCCCCGCCCACTTGGTTGAGTTAGCTGCAGTACTTCCTCTGTTTGGCAAGAAGGTAATCAGACCTGGGCTCTCTTCCTCTTTCTTCTCTCCGCGGGGTTGCTTGTTCCCGGTGCTGTCAGACTAACTTGGTGAGGCTGGGGGTAGGGGGAGATTTAGGGCCTGCAGTAGAGGTTTCCCAGAAAGGATAAAGTCAGTAGTAAAAGTTATATAGAGCTTTAAATCATACTTTGTTTTTCTTCAAATAAAGCCATCACCTGCCAGACGCACTGCTAACAACTCCAGCTGTAAATCACTGGCCATGAGGAACAAGTAGGCAGATGAAGTAGAAGCCCGGGGCATCACAGGCAGATATACGCTAAATAAGAATTGGGTTAGACAAGAATGTTAATAAGCAAAATAGCTAGTCTGAATGCTTGGCAAAGCAGCAAACACAGAACAGCTTAGTCCCGAAATCACTGTCATCAGAGTGGTACTTCTGTGCTGCTTTAAAAGAGACCTGGATCTAGGCTAGAAAAAGCCAACTTCTGGCTGTTCATTCTTCCCGGATGGGGATGGAGATCTTGAGCCTGCTGATACGCCGTGGTGGATTCTCTATATTCCATTAAAGCACACTGTTCTGGGACTGCTTTCTGTAGCTTTGCGTAGCCTCATCCCCGCGGTGCCGGTTGTCTTGTGGCACTGCTTGACAGCGCTTCTCTCCTCTCCTCTATCCTTCATTTGTAGGTAGGCAAATTCCTCGCTGGTTCTGTCTGTCCTGCGGTCAGAATTAATTTTCTTTCCGAGGTGTCTCCGAGTCTCTTCGGACAGTAGCTACCAAACCACTTTTCTTAATGGATTGTATCGATGCCATTAGAACTCAAAGAGGCTGTAAAAAGTAGTAATGTGCTTGCCTAGACAGCAAAGAGCTCCACTAAACAAGCCTGCAACTTAAACGTGAACAGTATTGTTCACTTTGGCACTGCCCTGCGTCTTCCAAACGGAAGGGTTAGGGTCAGTTAGAAGTGCTGTGGCAGGGGTAGGGTGTATCCTGCTAACTTTGTACAAGGCCTGGTGCATCCTTGCATACTTTGTATGCGCTCAGGATGGAATTTGTAACTCCTTAGGGGAAGGCAGAGTGTTGAGGTGTATATGTTCTGCACTGGAGGATGGACCAAAACCACCTTTTAAAGGCCTTTAGCCAATCTGCCAATTCTGACTTTTGCAAACCCAAGAGATCAAAAATGCAACCAAAGCCCCAGACTTGCCATCACTCTGCGCACCACAGTAACCTCCCCGGCGGCCCCAGACGCCAAGTACCCACTGCCCAGCTGCCAAGGTTTGTGCAGAGCCATGTCCTACTCCTGCCTCCTCTCGGGCTGGATGGCACGCTGACCAGAAGCGGAATTCCATGGCTATCTGCAGATCAAAAACTTGGCTGGAAGCTGCACTGGCTTCTGCCTTCAAGCCTGATGGAAGCCTCCTGGTCCTGTGGAGCCACAGGCTGGTGGTTGGGGGTTCCAGGCCCATCTTCTTCTCCAGGACTTTGGCCAGCTCTTTTTTCCAACAGGCCCTGCTTAACTGGCTCTTCACAGTCACATTCCAGCTGCAGGGATCTCCCAGGTTGAGTGCTAATGCCCCACTCCGCCTGCAGGAGCTGGGAGCGAGATCTCCACAGGACCTGCTGGACCGGGGTTAATCCCAGATCAAGCAGTGGAAAACATCTGCTTGAAACCTACATTCTGAACCAGTGGAGGCTAATGTTCCCTAATGTTCTAACGCTTCCATCCGCGTGTGGAATACATTTTGTTCTGCGCACTGAAGCATGTGCAGATGTGCACCACCAGTAGATATGCCAGCTGCTGGCTGGGGGCGCTCTGCTAATCAGCTGGGTGGCATTTGAATCTCTCTGGGTGGCCGCCCAAGCACTCAGCTTAGAGGGAACGCCGGTGGGGGCCATTCCCTCTCAGGATGAGACTTGTTGATCCGCCCCCATCCCCTCCCCTGTAGGTATTGGAAAGAAATCATATAGGCTGAAGCAGAAGGAAAGGGAGACAGCTGCTCACTCACTCCAGCCAGAATCCATGGGGAGCAGCTGGCACTATATTCCCCCTGGTCCCAACATTCTCTGTGGAAGTTGTGCTGTGGGGACAGAGGTGACCTGGCCTGTGGGGGCAAGAAACGCAAAGTTGAGTCTCTCCCTAGAGATTTCTGGTCCTTTGTTGTTGTTTATTATCACTGTAGTTTGTTGGCATTACCATAGCACCTCGGAGTCCGAGGCAGGCACCAGTCACCGTGCTAGATGAGAGAGACGGTCTCTGCCCCAAAGTGCTTACAAGATGAACATGAGGAGAAATGCAAAAGCTAGACCGAGAATCCTGCTCTTCTTCCTGCGGTCTGCTTTTGGGAGTCCGAAGGAAAAGGCTGATTAAAATCTGACCCGGAGTATTTGCAGACTGTCTCAGCTTCGTCATGGGGCCTGCGCTTTCCCACCAGTGATCCTCCAATCAAAACGAAAGGGGTGTTGAGTGGGTGCAAGCATTCTAGGAAATTCCTCCCTTCACATACCAAACGAGAACGATATGCTTCCTCCGGTCCAGTCCCAGATGATATCCCTGAGCCTGAATTGGAAACTCCCATGAAACCAAACATCTGGAAAGACTGGCTAACGTAATCTGCAGGCAGATACATTTAGTGGGCGAAAGTACGCAAAGTGGATGCTGTTGTGTCTGGGGGAGAACAGCCTTTCCAATGCCCTGGGCTTTTCTCTCCAGGACCCCACAGAAAGGGGGTAAACGCAACACCTTTGGCAGCACAACTGTGCCAGCAGCGTGTGCTCCCTGTTGTGTTTCTTCGGCATTGCTAGTGGCAGCGTTGTGTGCATTCAGCGCTCGGGATGTCCAGCTAGTTTTTTATTTGACTAACTATCTTCAGTGTGCATAGTGAGGGGAACATCCATTGTGAAACTTTGGGAGAGCCTGCACTAAGGCGCTGCGGGCTGCAGCTGTGAGCCGCGAAGGAAAAGAGTGGGTTGGACTAAGTTCTGACTAAAGTATTTGTGCTGGAAAGTAGCCCAGAGGCAGTAAAGGAGAAGCTTTAATTAGAAACAGCTGCAGGGCTGATGCAGCATATAGGACATTTTTCCACTTCAAATTCTTTCTAGTTTTCAAAAATCATCATTGGAAATAGCCTGAGTGTGAAACTTGCCCTTACAGACCTGATTATATTCTTGCTGAAGTAGGCAAGGAAACCTCACGTGCTTCTAGAAAGTGCCAGGACGAGCGTTGGGCTCCATTACTGTTCCTGTGGCAGACTGAGGCGCACAGTGGCTTTTGTTTGGAAAGGGTATTATTTCCTGTGCTGAGCCTGTCGTTTTGGAGCTGACACAAGCGGCTACAATTTTAAGCTGCTCTCCAGACAAGTGGCTTTTTATGTAAAGAACTTGAAAGAGCAAATCTTTCTGTGCCTCATTACTAGGGAAACCGATCCACGCTTATAGCAGTGGTTGGTGGATTAGAAGCATTCAAATCCAGCTTTACTGCGGTCCTCAAAGCTGCCAGGCATACGCTGAACCATGTTTCTAGTGACCTGGTGGGAGTGTGTGCAGGGTCCTGTCTCATCAAGCTTCTGCAGTAAATCAGCGTTGTCTCTGCCTTCCTTACTGTCACACTTATTTACCCCTCCTCTGTTTGCAATCCTGCGTGGAGATACGCGCTGCGTGGCGCTAGCTCAGTGGTGTGAGGACCACGCTAGCACACTCATTGCTGGCTATGGGATGCTGGCTACTGGTGGGCCAGGACGTAGCCCCGCAGGGAGTGCATTCTCACCCATTCTGGTTTTCAGTTCGCTTTTGTGGTCATTCATAGAATCGTAGAACACTAGGACTGGCAGGGACCTCGCGAGGCATCGAGTCCAGCCCCCTACCCTCGCGGCAGGTCCCAGCACCGTCTATATCACCCCTGACAGGTGTCTGTCCATCCTGCTCTTAAATGTCTCCAGGGATGAAGATTCCACAACCTCCCCAGGCAACTTATTCCAGGGTTTCACCCCCTTACAGGAAGTTTATCCCGATAGCCAACCTAAACCTCCCTTGCTGCAGTTTAAGCCCCTTGCTTCTTGTCCTGTCCTCAGAGGCCAAGATGAACACGTTTTCTCCTTCCTCCTTGTAACACTCTTTTAGATACTTGAAAACCGCTCTCATGTCCCCTCTGTCTTCTCTTTTCTAAACTAAACAAGCCCTATTTTTTGAGTCTTCCCTAACAGCTCATGTTCTCTGGACCTTTCCTCATTCTTGCTGCTCTTCTCTGGACCTTCTCGAGTTTCCCCACATCTTTCTTGAAATGGGCCCAGAACTGTACACAATCCTCCAATTGAGGCCTAATCAATGCAGAGTAGAGCGGAAGAAGGACTCGGGTGTTAAATGTCATCTGTGAAATGTACCTGAACGGTTGGGCACGGGATACCGGAGACTGTCTCGTGAATGAGGAGTGGAGTTCTGAAACAGCCTTCCAAGGTCATCATCAGGGCAAAAAGCCAAACTGATTGCAAAGCGGAGTTTATGGAGGGGCATGGGAGTATAATGAGGTTGCCTACAATGGCATATAGCCCATCTGCAGCTATTATTAGCAAACCGCTCCAACAGCTGGTGGGAGTTATTAGAAAGATTTTTTTCCCCAGGTGTCTGGCTGGTGGGTCTCACCCACGAGGTCTGGGTCTAACCAATCGCCATCTTTGGGGTCGAGAATGCATTTTCCACCTTGTCAGGTTGGCAGAGCGTAGACCCTGTGCAGCATGGGGCACAGGTCACTTGCTGCTTTGAACTAGAGTAAACGGTGGATTCCTTGTAACTTGAAGTCTTTACATCAAGATTTGAGGCCGTCGGTGACTTTGCCCGAGGCTATGGCCCTGTTACAGGAGTGTGTGTATGGGGGGGGGGCAGTCTGTGGCCTGCAGTGACTAGATGATCGTGATAGTCCATTCAGACCTTAACGTCTAGGCGTCTGCAGCAGTTGGGTCAGCTGAGTCTCAAGGGTGCACAGTGTTTTCAGAGATTTCAGAATTAGCTTCCCCAGACTTGTTAACCTTGGGTCACTCTGCACATCTCCGTGTGCTCCCAGCCTGTTTCTGGGGTGGATGGGTAGGAGTAGATGAAAAAGGGCTAGGGGCGCATTCTAGTTTTGGGGCGTGGATGAGAGGGCGTTCATCTTACGACATTGTTGCATATTTACAGGCTATGGAATAGTTACTCTTTGTCCATGTATCCAAAGCTTTTTCACAGCTCAGACAAGAAGACGCCGTTGTGGCAATCAAGTCTGACTTCCTGTATAACACAGGATGACCCTGAGTTAATTTCTGTTTGAACTGGACCAGAACTTTTGAAAAATCTGAATTTTAAAAATGTGGCTAATGTAGAATCCACCGCGACACCCCAGAATTGTTCCAGTGGCTCGTTACTCTCATTTTTAAAACTTGTCCTTATTTCTAGTGTAAATTTGTCTAGTGTCCATGTTCAGCCCCTGGGATCTGTGTGGGACCACCCCTGGTTACAGTTGCGTTTTGAGAGCAGGCAGTTTTGAATCCATCCGATGAGTGCATTGTAAACAACTCGGTAAACAGCTGAATTCATTTCTGTTGCCACTAGATATATTGCCTTGGACTTCACTAGAGAACTAACCACTCCTCTTGGAGTCAGAATCGCCCTCCTCTGCCCTGGGCTTGATTGGGAATTACTCATATCCTGGAGTTGTGCGCAAAGCATCAGGAGTTCGTCCCTAAAATATCTGTAGAGCGGCTCATGCTGGATGCGCCTCGCTGTCTCCTAGACAAGACGTGTAGAGTTTGATGCTCATCAGAGTACTTAGCCCAGGGACTGGCAAATACAGGTCCACAGGGCAGATCCAGTCGGCCAGGCTTAGCCCCTGGTGGCCCCCTGCTATGTTTGCCTGCACCTCCGCAGGTACAGGCAGTCGCCGCGGCTGGCCAGTGAGAGCTGCCGTCCCCATGCCGGCGGAGGCCCAGAACAAAGTATCAGTGGCCCACAGGGACTAACCCCGGGGAACCGTTGCTGTTTCGTTGCCCACCCCTGATTGAGAGTGTAGAAAAACCTGCGGCTGGAGAGTCGAATTTTCTTTGCATTTTTTATATTTTTGTCTTACTGATGTCCATTTTGCAGGGTTTGAAGGGATGGGGAGACAGAGTCTGTCTGTCTGCCAGGCAAGTGGCCAAAGAGGAAGGAGGGACAGCGGGAAGTTTTTGCCCTTCCTTAGCTATACTAGGAAAGTGATTGCGTATGGAGATGAATTAATGTTATGACGTCAAAGCTGCGTACTGCGGCCAGCCATGAATAGCAGGAGGACTTTCCTGGATCTGGCCTGTGCATTAGGGTCTGCAGTGTAGCAGGACACAGTCTGGGGGCTGGGGGTGTCAGTGCTGTCCCAGTAGCACTTGCACTGTGAGGGTGAGTGAACACGCTGCTAACCTGACTGCCATTCTCTTGCAGGTGTCCAGAGGGTTTTCTTGGAGACTACTGTCAGTACCGGAACCCTTGTGAGAGCTATACCTGTCAGAATGGAGGGACCTGCGAGAGCTCCTCGGTGATAGGCAAAGCCAGGTGTAGATGTGCAGTAGGGTTCGCGGGCGAGGACTGCAGATTCTCCGAATCACACATCTGCCTGGTGTCTCGCCCCTGCTTAAATGGAGGGACCTGCCAGCTGCTTCTCCAGGACACATACGAGTGTGTCTGTCCACCAGGCTACACAGGTGGGACTTTGTAATCGTGTCCTTAGCCTCCTCCCCCATTTCAAGTACTTTTAGGAGGGATGTACCGTCCTAAAATGCACTAGTGTTAGAGCATCGTAGACGATTAGGGCTGGAAGAGACCTCGGGGGAGGTTGCTCTAATCTGCTATTGAACTAATAGCTTCAGCTTTTTTGAATAAAGCCCTTCACGCTGTATCTCCTCTAGAGCACGAGAATTTATTTTTTTTAAAAAGCCATGTTTTTGGCCCCTCGTCCTCCAGGAAACGCTTAAATCCCAAATGTATTTATTCTCGTAGGCCTTGTCTAGTGGGACCCCGACCCCAGCCATACTGGAGGAGAGCGTCTGCGCTGGGGGTGACGCAGAACAGCTGCTGCACTTGACAGTTCTGCTCCGTCTTAATGCAGAGTCACTGCCCCGTGCGGGCAAGCCCTAGAACATCTCCCGGGGCAGCTCTGGCCAGCAGCCGCGTCCGTAGGGCAGCTTAATTCTGTGTCAAGCAGAAATCCAGAACCTGCTTTTCGGCGGGAAGGGAGTGGGAGAGCGGCCGTATCTGAGCGGTGCAGCAGCAGCAGGTGGCCAGCTCCGGGCTTGTCTCTCGTAACTCACAGACTCGCTCTGTCTTGCAGTCCCACCCACCCAGATTAGACCTGAGTCCGATGGGGGGTTGCCGTGGGCAGGGTTGGTGTGTCAGGTCCCTTGGCGTGTACAGCAGGGAGTCTCGGCTGCGGGAGGGGAGGGCTGGATGCAAACAGTGTCTGACTGAGGTGCCGTGTTCCCCAGGAAAGGACTGCCAGTGGCTCGATGCCTGTGTGTCGCAGCCGTGTGCCAACGGGAGCACATGCGTGACGTCTGCAAGTGGGTTCTCCTGCACCTGCCCAGCAGGCTACACTGGCCCCAAGTGCGAGAGTGACGTGAATGAATGTGCCACCCCAGGACAATGCCAGCACGGTGGAACCTGCCACAATTTGCCCGGGTCCTACCAGTGCCAGTGCAAGCCAGGCTTCACGGGACCCCGCTGTGAGAGCACGTACGTGCCGTGTTCACCTTCGCCGTGTCTGAACGGAGGGACGTGCCATCAAACCAGTGACTTCACCTACGAGTGCAACTGTCTGCCAGGTGAGGCTTGAGTGCTTTCCCCGGTCTGCTGGCATGCAGTGGGAGATCGGCCAGGTGGGGTTGGCTGATGTACGGCCCCCACAGTACTGGAGCGGTGCAGGCCCAGGCGAAGAAGAGCAAAAGTGTGGGCTAGAAGGGAGATGGAGGCTTAGCTGTGGTGGGCGTGTGAAAGGGGAGCAGTGTCCTAGCGACAGGGAGAGAGAAGGGGTTAGGGATGCCAGGAGAGGAAGGGTGGGTTCCGGGCCCAGGGAAAAGGCTAACTAGATGGGTAAACACATGGCTCAAATTCACCCACTTCTCAGATCTCTTGATTTCCCGGTCTCACGTGAACTTGCTGCCTTGAATTCCCCTCTTTTGTACAAGGGAGACGTGGGTTATGGCTCGCAGGCTCTGCTGCCTCCTTAGCGGCGCTTGAGTTCCTTGGCCTGGAGCTTTGACCCCCGAGGTGCCAGAGGGTTTGTCATGCCTGGAGTGCTGGAGCGGGGGAAGGAGAACAGCAACTTCAGAGCCAGGGAGACAGCTCCCATGCGTGACGTGACCTTTCCTGCGGGATGCAAGAGGGGCCGGGGGCACCATGCACCTTTCCTTGCAGGCTGTGTGTCGGAGCTCCCCGCACTAGGGCGCCCTGCTCCCCCACATCCGGCATTGCTGGGCCACGGAGCTCAGGGAGAGGGAGGTCTGGCGGTGTGGCCGGGGGACAGCTACTCGTCAGGAGCCCCCTGGCCGTAGGGAGGGCTGGGAGGCCAATGACAGGGGACCTCCCGCAGATCCCCTCCCTCAGGACCAGTCGGGCCCTAAGGATGCCGGAGCAGAGCCATCTGGATCTTAAATGAAGCCAGAGCTCCCACAGCATCGCTCCCATCTGCCGTGACTGGGACTCGTTGCGCAAGCGGCCTTGAGACTCTCTCTTGGTGGGCCTGAGCCAGTCCCGGCGCGGTGGCCGGGCTGCTGCAAAGGGCTTCCCAAGCTTCCCGGTTCAAAACCAGAACCAAGGGAAAGAAGGTTGGTGGGTAGGAGCACTGCCCGGGAGAAGGCTCCTCTGACTGCCCAGTGTCGCTGGCAGGGAAACTTGCAGCTTTCCAGCTCGTTCGTGTGTGTTTGTCATCCAGATGTTGCACTAAGCTCAGTCACATCGCAGAAATGAGGGGAAATTCCACAGTTCTAGAGGCAAAGTTCCCAAAAGCTATGCCAGCGCCAGCCTCCTTCTGCGGGCACCATTCCATCCGCGCTGGCGCTTGGGCCGGATGCACTCCCTTTCTCCAGGTTTAGGCAAATGGGTACAGGCCCTGTGTGGGCAGGCCCTGACGCCAAACAGATGGGAAGTTTCTCAGCTCAATCAGCTTTAGAAAATGACACTTACGAGGGAGATGTTTAACTTGCAGCATTTTAAACTCCCTTTGAAATGTGGTGAGAATGAGTTGTATAGCTGTAAATATCTGACAAATAAGGAGTTGACTTGGCAACCGAATGTTAAACAAGTCAATAAAGGAAGTTGGTGGCTGGGAAAGTGATTAGTCATTGTTATCCATCACAATAATTGCCCGTTTACTTAGATAAGAACCCGAGGGAATTCTGAGAGCTTGTCCAGGAAGAATCTGTCAGACCGGAGCAGAGTGTGTGAGAACTGGAATACCTTGTGGAAAGAGGAAACAACGTCACGTGTCCACTAGCTTTTAGTGTCATATCATACAACTGTGGCCCAAACTGCTACATCCTCGCAACGCAGAGCCGGTCCCTGGGGCCCCCACTGACATGAATGGGGGCAGGTCGCCCCCTGGTCATCTCAGGCAGGCATCCCTGTGCTGCTTTACACAGTGAGATCTAACGCAGAAAGCTGAGTGGCTCTAGGACAGCCTGCAGCAAGAGGTGAACTCCACTGTCAATCCCGCCACAGTGCTGCAGACTGTACGCGACCTGCAATAGGCATAACTATCACGCCCCAAAGTTTCAACTGTATTTTAGAAGGACAGGAATAAAGCAAATTGGATTAGGGCATTTGGGAGATCAGAAGTGACCAGAAAACATAACTACTTGCATTTGTGAAACTGTAACTCCAAAATGGTGTGGCCTTGATGCTTCAAATCCCCCCTTGGTAAGATGCATGAGACTTTTGACTGAGCTTGCTGGTCGAGCTGCTCGCTTCTCTTCTACGCCATTTCCATGTACGTTTGGAGTATATCCTTGCTCAAGGCAGCCCTTGTAGAGACGCGCCCTTTCGGGGTGTTTCAGTGCAGCACACGGCTTGTGAAGCCTGTTTCAAGTGAGCACAAGCGTATAAAGTGCACACAGGACTTCTGCTTCCTGCAGAGCTGTTGCATTGATCTAACTGACACACCACTTCCCTAAAGGCTGTGGCCCAGCGTCGGTGGCATTGGCAGATGGATGAAGGGCAGGAAACAATAATGGGTAAATTGTTCTCTTTCCTCTTCCACTGCCTGGCCTTTGTGGTGTTCTGCCGGTGTCGCTTACTTAGATCTCACAAGCCCTCTGCAAGGCAGGCCAATGCGGAGATCGGCATTTTCCTATGGGGAAACTGAAGCCCAGAAGTCTCTTGCAGCATTGCCTTTGGCAGTCCGAACGAGGGGTGCTATTTGTTGCGGTGGTGCCTAGGGATCAGCCAAGGAGCTCTGTTTTACTAGATGCTGTACAGACAGCAGGAGGACACAGTCTGCTCAGAGGACCTACAGTGCATAGGCCAGGTAAAGGGCAACGTACAAGCATAGTGATCAGTGGGAGTGGAGTTGTGCTTGTGCGAGAAGCACTCCCAGCTGGTCCCTCGGGACACCGGGGAGACTCTGGAGAGACCAGAGCAAGATGACTGGGATGTGTTCTGGTTGCTTGGTCTGGCCCTTTCAGGGCAGGACATGGTTACTGACAAGTCTTTGCTGTGCAACTGGACAAGCAGGTTGAGTCTCTCCCCACGGCCCAGCAACCCTCTTTGCTGGACCCCGAACGTCATTTCAGGCTTGTGTCTCTCTCCCTTGGCCAGGCTTTGCAGGAAACACCTGTGAGCAGAATATCGACGACTGCCCCCGACACAGTTGCCAGAACGGCGGGGTGTGCGTGGACGGCGTCAACACCTACAACTGCCACTGCCTCCCACAGTGGACAGGTAGGTCCTGGGGACGCTGTCGCTGCGGGGCTCAGGGCTCACAGGGCTCCCCCGTTTCAGGCTGGCGCCGGGGGCCTGGCATTAGCCGTGCAGTAGCTGTGAGGGCGAGTGTAGGCGACACTCTTAGTGGACGGGGAGCACATCCAAGCCCTCACTGCCACGGAGGAGAAATTCCCACGTAACCTCTGGTGGTGGTCCCCACAGGGCGTGGGGGGAGGGGACTAGACGAAGAGGCGGCCTGTGGCCCCTTACAGACGAACAGAAGTGTTGGGCACAGGGCTTTGTGCTTCCAACCGCTTCAGCAGAAGGCTGATGCCTCAGCACAGCTCTGGGTGCCGCAGGCGACTCGCTGCTTGTGCAGACACCGCCGAACGCAGCTCCGCCGCAGGGCCAGAGTAGGAATCGCACACTGCTCCTGCCGTGCTTTTCCCTCCGGGCCTCGCAGCCAGGCAGACTCTCCCAAGCATTACGTACGTTAAAACATGCCGTCCTCCCGCGGACTGTGCCGTGAGACTCCTGCACAGGCTGCTCCCTTACAGCTGTGGCACGCATCGCGCAGCTGCGTAACTGCCACGGAGCCCAGGGAAATAACGTACGCCACGGAGGGGACACGCCGCGGGGGCACGCTCTTGTTGAACCGCGAGATGGCGCCGGCCCTCCCCCAGAGCAGAACCAAGTAAGCGCGCCAGCATGATTGCGGCATGGCACAGCCACGCCCTCGCTTCGTTTGCAGCTGAACGTCGTTTTGCACCTGCTTCAGAATCCACAAGCAAAGAAACTAGCCACAAAGCTAGTAGATGCCACCGGGAGCCAGTGCAGAATCTGTCCTGCAAATGGCAAGTGCAGTGGGCAAACGGCGCGTGAATGAGCTGGCCTGGCCTGTGCTGAGACCGAGCGCTCTGCAGACGGGGCGCTAGTGGAGGCCATCGTGGCTCAGCAGCTCAGACAGGCGTCGGGTAGGGAATTTGGCTGCTGGAGACTGAAGGTTCCATAGCATCTTTCCAGCCTTTTTCCTGGTAGAGTTAATCAGCCTCATTGCAGACACGCCATAGAGGAAGCGTGTCGGGAAAGTCACTTCCCCCAGGATTGAACTGGGTCAGGCAGTTAGTTTTGAAGGGAAAACACACCAGCAAACAGGGTGTCTGACCGCTTGGCGTGGGCCTTTCTCTGTGTCCGAGCTC